CTCTCAATGCGTACGTTTGAAAGTATTTCAGTCATTTTTCATCTTAGAGCAATATTGGGGTCACCAAAACCGCGGCGGCGCGAAAAACGCAAAAAACGCGACAGGGTGGTATGCCCCCCCCCCCCCACTGTGGCGAAGGTTAACCACATGGAATCGTGATTTCATGCACTCCTTGCAAGTTGCAATGTTTCACTTTTGTATTGTTGACCTTGCGTGACGTCATTTATGACGTCACTAGGGTCATAATAATTTTTCGTCAATAACTCCTGATCAAATTGAGCTAGCGAGCCGGGACAGCCACCAATGGCATCAGAAAGACCTGCCGAATCGAATGATATGCAAAATGACCTAATTCGACCAACTTCGTGACCTGGGGGCTCTGACCTGACCTGACCGTGACCTTAGGTCAACACCACAAGTTGACCTTGCCCCGAGCAAAAAGTATACCATTCGACGCGCCTGAGCAAGGCGAACACGATGATGCCAAAATCGCAGCTCTGCGGCCGTTTTTTGCGAAGGTTTTGGCCAAAAACCGAGCCTTGGGCCACTTGACCTAACCTCAGAGGTCACCGGTTGACCTGAGACCTTAACCCTCGCCGGCACAGGCCATTTTGCGTCCTTCGACGGCACGAGGGGGGTTGGTTGGTAAGACCCCCTCCTCGCGTTTGGCCCCTGATCGAGCTAGAGCTTCGAGGAAAAAAACGAGCGTGTTGCCCATCACGAGAGTAAACCGATGATATCCAATTTTAACCCTCGCCGGCACAGGGTGTGTGTGGGGGGGGTGATGCAACCCCTTAACCCGCGCCCCGTAGGGGGGGGGGGGCCGAAACGGCCCCCCCTGTCCTTTTCGGTCGATATCTCCTAAACGGCTGGAGATATCGCCACCAAACTTTCAGAACCCCTCCGGGCATCAATTTTACACATTGTGACCAAAATTTTTTCCAGAGGCTGTAATAGGTTGGCCACAAATGACGTCAGAGTGACGTCATGTTCTGTCATTTTCGACCGAAAAAAGACCTTCGCGAGAAGACCTGTCAGGCCTACAGCTTTGAAGATACAGAAAAATGATCAAGACATAAAAGGTGTAGAATTGACAGGGCTACAAAACTGCTCTCTCGGATTTTTGAAATTTTTGAGTTTTGATCCCCAAAAATCAAAAAAGCATTTTTTTGGATATATTAGACAAAAAATCCAAAAAGTTTTTTGAGTTTCAAAAAAAACGGAATATATGTGATAGCACCTACCGTCTTCTATCTACATACTAAATTTCAGATCGATACCTCGTTTTTGGCCAAGTTATAGCGAAAAAACTGTTTAAAAATGATTACGTCAAATTTTCAAACTCAATTTTTGGCAATTCTAGAACTCGTAGAGCAAAACAAAGACCACCATTAGACTCCCCGTGACAAGCTGCATCGAATCGATACCCATTTTATGCAAAAATATCAACTTTGAAATTTGACCTAATATGACCTGACCTTGACCTGACCTTCACCAAAACGTGACCTAGGCTGGCCCCAAAGGCTGCCTAACCCACATAATCGCATTTGTCATGTAAAATGGACCATAAAACATGTATCACACGACACATTCATATTGTGACCCCCGGTGACCTGACCTCGCTGTGACCTGACCTGGTATCAGTGACCTCAGATAGCAAAGTATGTGTTTGACGAACAATATACCATCGATGGTTTTCAATAAATTACCAATTTACTCGATTTCACAGCACATTTCTTGAATTGCCTGTGAACGGTGAAAATCTGACCTTTGACCTGACCTGTGACGTCATCGGTTTGACCCAGGTCAATGAAATTTGGTCACAAGGTAGTTCCCGGGTAGGGCTATCAAACGCCGTTTGAATTTTGAAAATCAGCCGGTAACTTTCGGAGATCTTAGGGGGGGGGGCCGAAACGGCCCCCCCCCCCCCACGGGTGGTAGGGTCCGCCGGTAGCCCTACGGGGCGCGGGTTAAGGTTTTTCGCGAATAACTCGCGTAAAAAGCGGCCGATCGCGACGAAACTTTTAGTACCCTCGCATTTATCAATTTTACACATACCCTGAAAATTTCATGACCCTGACCCAAATGACCTTTGACCTGTGACCTCTTTTCCGAGACCATGTTTGGCCGGAATCGCGATTCGGCGTATGTCGGCTCGCATTTGCCGCGCGTTAAGCTTTTCGTGGTTTCAAACGTTCAAACATGTGATTTGATGCTGCTCCCATACATTAGGGTGGGTGTCAAGGTCACCTGAAGGTCAGGTCAGGTCATTGACCTTTGGTGACCTCGGGTGACCTCGGTTCACTTTTTCGAGTTTTACATGTTTCTAGGCTAGTTTTTTTTAGCTGAATTCGAATTTAGCAACCATTTGAACATTTACGAAGTAGTTTTGATACCTTCGTAACATGTTACGAAGCTGTCAGAGGCGGTTGACACTTATTACGAATACCTACCCGTCGCAACCCCTACCGGTTGACCTGACCTGACCTGACCCGACCTGGTCTAAATGCTTAAAGACATCATCTCTGATCAAAACTAACACGATATTCGTGATCAGCACCCCAGAAAACCCCATAACAGCCACAATTTACGACTTTCTAACAGGTCCCGATTTTCCCGGTTTTCGGGTCATTGAGCTGAACTGGAAGGTCACCCGATGACCTAGGACCTTAAAATTGGGTATCGTCGGCTTCCTCTTGTGACGGGCAACACGCTTGTTTTTTTCTGCGAAGCTCTAGCTCGATCAGGGGCCAAACGCGAGGGGAGGTCGTACCAACCAACCCCCCCCCCCCCCTTGTGCCGTCGAAGGACGCGAAAGGGCCTGTGCCGGCGAGGGTTAAGGTCCTAGGTCATCGGGTGACCTTCCAGGTCAGGTCAATTACCTGAAAATCGGGAAAATCGGGACCTGTTAGAAAGTCGTAAAGTGTTGCTGCTATGGGGTTTTCCGGGGTGCTGATCACGAATATCGTGTAAGTTTTGATCAGAGATGATGTCTAAGCATTTAGACCAGGTCGGGTCAGGTCAGGTCAGGTCAACCGGTAGGGGATGTGACGGGTATTCGTAATACGTGTCAACCGCCTCTGACAGCTTCTTAACATGTTACGAATGCACCAAAACTACTTCGTAAATGCTCAAATGGTTGCTAAATTCGAAATCAGCTCCAAAAATTAGCCTAGCAACATGTATAACTCGAAAAGTGAAACGAGGTCACAAGGTCAATGACCTGACCTGACCTTCAGGTGACCTTGACATCCACCCTAATGCATGGGAGCAACATCAAATCACATGTTTCAACGTTTGAAACCACGAAAAGCTTGCAAACGCGCGGCTAATGCGACGCCGAATCGCGATTCCGGCCAAACATGGTCTCGGAAAGTAGGTCACAGGTCAAAGGTCATTTGAGTCAGGGTCATAAAATTTTTAGCGTAGGTGTAAAGTTGATCAATGCGAGGGTACTGAAAGTTTCGTCGCGATCGGCCTCTTTTTACGCGAGTTATTTGCGAAAACCCTTATGGGGGTTGCATCAATCCCCTTCCCCCCTGTGCCGGCGAGGGTTAACCCGCGCCCCGTTGGGCTCTGCCGAGCAACGCGCCCGGTTGGGGGGGGGGGGGCCATTTTGGCCCCCCCTAAGATCTCGAGAACCACGCAACATAGCGACAAGCGGTAAACGGCGTTGGATAGCCCCAACGGGGAGCTACCTTGTGACCTAATTTTATTGACCTAGGTCAAACCGATGACGTCACAGGTCAGGTCAAAGGTCCAATTTTCACCGTTTACAGGCACTTCAAGAAATGCGTTGTAAAATCGAGTAAAATGCATTTCATTGAAAATCATCGATGGGGAAATGTTCTTCAAACACATATTTTGCTATTTGAGGTCACTGATACCAGGTCAGGTCACAGAGGTCAGGTCACGGGGGGGGGGGTCACAATATGAAAGTGTCGTGTGATACATGTTTTATGGTCCATTTTACATGACAAATGCGATTATATGGGTCAGGCAGCCTTTGGGGCCAGCTTAGATCACGTTTTGGTCAAGGTCAGGTCAAGGTCAGGTCAAGGTCAGGTCAAATTAGGTCAAATTTCAAAGTTAATATTTGTGCATAAAATGGGTATCGAATCGATGCAGCTCGTCACGGGGAGTTCAATGGTGGTCTTTGTTTTGCCGTACGTGGTCTAGAATTGATAAAAATTGAGTTCAAAAATTTGACGTCATCATTTTTGAACAGTTTTTTTTCGCTATAACTTGGCCAAAAAACGAGATATCGATCTGAAATTTGGTATGTATATAGAAGAGCGCTGGGACTATCACATATATTCCGGTTTTTTCGAAATTCGGAAAATTTTGGATTTTTTCAAAGTTTTTCTAAAAAAATCAATTTTTTGAATTTTTTTTGGTCAAAAACCAAAAATTTTGAAAATCCGAGATAGCAGTTTTGTAGCGCCGCTTTTTGTCTACTAGACCATATAAAGAACTTTGAAATTGCTTGATAACTGTAGATTTGGTGAGCGTTTCAAGATTGCATGTTTTTTGCTCATTTTTGCTCGAACATGACCTCAGTTTGACCTCAATAACTCCTGACCTAAGGTGACCTTAGACTTGAAATTTGGTGTGAAGGTGTCAAATTGATGCTCGGGAAGGTACTGAAAATTTGGCGGCGCTGCGCGCCACGGTTTTCTTGTTATTCAGGAAAAACCACAGGGGGGGCCAAAATGGCCCCCCCAACGGGGCGAGGGTTAAAATAAGGGGTACTAATCGCTGCGTCTCGTAACGGCGCACACGCTCGATTTTCCTGCGACGCTCGCCTCTAGCTCTATTAGGGGAGAAACGGCGAGGGGGTCGTACCCTACCCCCCCCCCTCGGCCGGAGCGTATGTGGAAAACCAATAGGTCCGGCGAGGGTTAAAGAACATCGAGCACGGTCCATTCCTGGCCACTCAACGGAGCCTTGCTCTGTCTCAGATAGGGAACGTAGCTGACGAGCTTGTTTCTCTTTTTCAGAAACAGACCGTAGTAGCCTCTTACCAGGTACCATTAGACTCTCAGGGGCAGTATCAATTCACCTAACGGAGGCATCTCGCCGGCCGCTTGGTGTCAACGATCCGGATAGCGCCTTACAGGTAAGGAGCACAGGAGTACCTACAAAAATACTTTCTTGGCCTCACACACCACAACTTTGATTAGTTTCACCCCTGCAACGTCATCTTTGCACTGACTTGAAAGAGAAAAATAAAAACCGTGTAAAAATTGCAGATACCAACCGAATGTATCCCATACGTTTACCGCTTGTCGATAGCCTCAGTCTGAATCGTTTTCGAGATCCTAAGGGGGAGAGGGGGGTATAGCCCTTCTGTGCAAAGTTGTCCCAGAGTCAATTTTTGTCAAACCACTTTCAGATATGCAAGACTCTGAGTTGTCCATAACGAGGGCCTCAACATAAGCTAACGATGCATGTTTGTTGTTTTGTTCGTTTCTTGATTTGTTTCCTATTTGTCTATCCCAGAAATGACAATAATTGCTCACTCAGCTGCACGTTTCGGTCACGCTGACATCTTTTTGTTGTTTCTGTTTGCAGCTCGACTCTGGTGTTTCTGAGACTGATGTGGACATTTCAATCGGTTCCTATTGTGGTGTCGGCCCTGTCATCTGACGGCATATTCCGGCACCGACGGCAGCATATGGGTATCTTGGACTGGATCAAGTCTAACTCTATACAAACGTTATAATTGTATTTAGCACAATAATGTATTTCCCATCTGCTGAATCTAGTTTCGCTGAACCATTTTATTTTATTGCAAATATCCTGGCTACCTATAGGTAGCCAGTAATCTGGTAGCCTGGCAGAAGGTAGGCTGAAACGCAAACATAAAGACAATCAATGCAGCAGCTAAAAATGATTTATAATTTGCTTCCTCTATAAACTAGTATGACTGGCATATCTTCCCGTTTTGCTGTATTCGTAGAGTTCGACGGCCGACGCACCTTTCAACGATATGCGTCTCGTTGCCAATAACCCTTTTGTTTGTGATTGCAGCTCTGGCCTGGTGTTGCTGTGACTGGTGCTGCCACCTACACAAGCATCAGTTGACGGTGCTGCCATCTGTCAAACTGCTTTCGGCATCGACTACAGCTCATATCTTGGACATTTGGCTCCAAGGGCAGTCTTCGCTACTGAGGCTTTTCAATTCAACACCGTGGTATTGACTATTGGTATTGTATTGGAGGTATTTACGGAATCGCATAAACTTTGACATCATTAGAGAGATGCAAACTTTACAGATATTCACTAGCATGATATAGCTAAATCGCATTTAGATCATATAATAGAGCCTAGGTACATACATCTAATCATATAATCATACTAATCATAACATCATATCATATAATTCACTTTAATATGTAGAATTGATCAATGCCACGGGTCACATTCCGATTTAGGATCGGTCCACGGCCATTGAACAGTCGGTGGTCTCTCGTATTGCCGCTGTACAGTGATGACCAATCCGGTCCAGTGTTGTGGCCACCGGGTGACGGAGTGCACCGCCCACTTGTGTGTATGTCTGTGTGTCAGCGGAAGGGGAGGAGTCACCCAGAGAATAATCCACTTTTCATTATAACTCACTAATAAGTCGATTCAAAAAAAGTGGCTGCGTGGCGTAATAGTTAGCGCAGTCGCATTCCAAGCCAAAGGTCGCGGGTTCGCGGCCTGGTGCGTACATTTGCTTTTGCCTGTGTTTCTGAATAGCATTTATTCAGTCAGTAACTCAGTTGCCAAAGCGAAACCCGCGCGGCGGCGCCGGCGGCGGACTTACCTTTTGTGTCGTCCTCCGGCAGGTAATGCTGCAGCAGCTGCCACCGGTCCGGCCACCGGCCGACGGCCGCGTCATAGGCCGCGCGCAGCCGGTCACCGGTCAGCAGCTGCTGCAGCCGCCGGCGCCAGAGGCCGGCCGTGGCGACCACCGTCGGGCCGTCCATCTCTGGTAGTTTGACACGGAGCCAGTGCTGCAGGTCACAGCTGAGGTCCTCCAACACCTCCCGGCACTGCTGGTAGGTGGCCGGTGGTCGGTAGTTCCCCTCCCAGGCCTCCTTCAGCTCCCGGTCCCACCCTCGCCACACGTCCATCCAGCACGGCACGGCCTCACCGAGGGCCCGCAGCAGCAGCTCGGGCCGCAGCAGCAGCTCGGCCCGGCCCCGCGGCGTGTCCGGCTCGGCGGTCAGGCCGGCCGGCCGCTCCCGGCGACACCAGGCGGCCACCGCGGCCGGCTCACCCAGCAGGAGCTCCAGGTCGGAGTCGGTGAGGAGCCGGGTGAGCGGCGTCACGTCTAGCGTGACGGTGACGTCACCGACCGGTGACGTCATCGGCTCGCCGTCCGCCAGGTCCGCCGGGTCCACCACGCTCCAGGCCATGAGCAGGTGACACTGCTGGTAGTGTGTCCCCGACTTCATGTGGTGCCACCACTGGAGCAGGCGGGGGGCCGCGCGGGCCAGGCTGGGGATGGCGTGACTCCACCAGCTCTCCCAGCAGGGAGCCGTGGGGCGGAACCTGATACCGTCCAACACAGCCCGCAGGAGGAGCGTCCGTCCCAGACGGAGCCGCAGCTGGCGCTCTGAGAGCGGCTCCGTCGGCCGCCCCTCCAGCAGGGTGTCCAGGGACCACTCCTCCTCACAGCAGGCCATCAGGAGGAGTGTCAGGTGCTCCCTCACCAGCCGGAGGGAGCCGATGATGGCCTGCCGCTGGTCCCTGGACAGCTCCGCCGCCACGTTAATGGCCGGGTAGAAGTAGCAGGGCAGCCATTCTTCATCGAGGCGCCGCTCCAGCCAGTCCAGGAGCCGGTGGACGCCGTCCGTGACGCCCGTCCACGGTCCACCGTGCGGCTCCTGGGCCACCCAGAGCGCCGCCGTCTTGATGAAGTACGACTTTAATAAGTCGCCGATGGCTACCCCGCTCTCCTTCAGGATGTTTTTGATGGCCTTTAGGGCTCTAACCGCAGCCCGCAGCCCCGGGCAGAGCTGACGGACGGCCAGCAGCTCCGCCCGAGACAGCGAGATGCGGTACTCAATAGACTCCGTCTTACTGCCCGGCCGGCCGGTGGGCACCAGGTGAACCCCGAAGCTGGTGTCCCAGGGGGCGCCGTGGGTCCAGCCTGGCGCGGGCCACCAGCCGCGCACCAGCAGGCAGAAGACGTAGTCTCTGCCGCCGTCTTTATCACCAGGCCTCTTGACGTTGGCTGCCGGGCCGGTGGGGGTGATCTCACCATCCATCAAGGCCCGGCAGTAGTCTTTCATCATCTGACGGACGGAGTCGGCCGGCAGCGCCTCCAGCGGCTCCTCGTGGCCGCACCGGTCCGTCCGCACCCAGTGCAGCGTCACGAAGCCGTCGTTGTCGGTCGGCCGGGCCCACAGCTGCGGCGCAGAGCGCGGCTCGATGTCGGCCGGCTCCGCGCCCGGCGGCGCCCAGCGGAAGGGGCCGTCAAACTCCAACATTACGTCGACGTCTGACGTCTTCACAGCGAGCCCCTCTGCTCTGCTCCCCGACATGTTGTAGGAAACCAGCCGGAGCGGCTGACGGGGCTGGCAGTGACGACACCGGGCGGCGGCGGCGGCGGCCCCGACCTCCGCCAGCGCCGACAGCAGAGGGCTGACCATCAAATTCCGGACGGCGTCATCGACCTCCTGGGCGGTGACGTCGGCCTGTCGTGAGGGCCCGTGGTTCTCCACCAGGTCTGTGGCCACCAGCCACTGGCGGATCCTGGGGGGGGTCCACGGGGTCATGACCCCCCCCAAAAGGTCTGAGAGGGTCATTTGACCCCCCCCAAAAGCCGAAGACCTAAATGCGCTATAGACGCCGTCTTGCATGCTCAAAATCACCTGTCAAACACTTCTGAGCTAATACCTTTGTTTTTCTGGATCGTGTTGCGTGAAAAGGCGTATTGAAGACCAGAATCTTACTCGTTTTTGTCTCAACCGTGCGAGCACCAGGGGATGATCCAGGAAAACTCCAAGGGGATGGTCATGAATTTAATTCGTGGTGCCCCTACCTATACGCAAAATTAAAAACTCAACGGATTTCGGTCACTTAATTTTGGTGATGTCCTATTTTCATTTTTTATTTTGTTTGTTTTATTTTTAGTGCCCCTGGGCCCTGGCAGGTCAAAATCACGTCTGAGGCGAAAGAAATTCACGGGAATCCCAAAAATCACGTCAGGACATTCAGGGCCCTCTGACCAGCCTGACAGCTAGGGCCCTTCTTACTTCCTGGGGCCTCCAGTGAATAACCGCTAGTGTCTGTGTCTGACCGCTAGGGCCCCTCTGACTCCTCAGTAGGTAGGAGGCCCTCTGTAGAGGAGGTCCTCTGTAGAAAAGAGGCCCTCAGTAGAGAGGAGGCCCCCTGTAGAGAGGAGACCCCTTTAAAGAGGAGGCCCTCTGTAGAGAGGAGACCTGCTGTAGAGAGAAGGCTCTATGTAGAGAGGAGGCCCTGTGTAGAGAGGAGGCCCTCTGTGGAAAGGAGACCGCCTGAATGCAGAAGGCCCTCTGAAGAGTGGAGACCCGCTGTAGAGAAGAGGCCCTCTGAAGAAAGGAGGCCCTCTGTAGAGAAGAGGCCCTCTGAAGAGAGGAGGCCCTTTGCAGAGATGAGGTCCTCTGGCTCTTTGAAGAGAGGAGGCCCTCTGTAAAGGAGGCCCTCTTAAAGGGAGAGACCCTCAGTAGAGAGGAAGCCCTCTGTAGAGAGGAGGCCCTGTAGCTTCTGTAGTTAAGAGGCCCTGTGAAAAGAGGAGGCCCGCAGTAGAGATCGGTGGTCCTCTGTAGAGAGGAGGCCCCCTCTGTGTTTTGACAAATGTTTTTGCAAATTTTTCGCGGCGCTTCGCGCCGCCGATTTATGTACATACGTACAGGTCAATACGAAATCTTGACTGTAATTACATAAACCAACCGTGTCAAATTGAATCAGAATTCATATGTGTGCTGTAAAGGAACTCCGGCTTGTACTGCAATGCTGAAAGGGTGGTAAAATTTGTGTTTTGGAGCTGTGTTTCGACACATTCTTTTGCAAATTTTCTCGGCGCTTCGCGCCGCCGATTTATACACCAATCAATAAGAGAGAAATAACAGTGACTGTAATAACACCAACCGTGTCAAATTGAATCGGAATTCATATGTGTACTGTGAAGGAACTCCGGCTTGTACTAGCATGCTAAAAAGGTTGTAATATTTGTGTTTTAGAGCTGTGTTTTGACAACTTTTTTTTGCAAATTTTTGCGGCGCTTCGCGCCGCCGATTCATACACAGGTCAATAAGAGAGATCGTGACTGTATGCTACTATTTACTAATGCATTAGGCTAAAAGTGAGGTAACTATATCTACTTCTGGGTTTTTAAGTCGGTCGACCCGCCTCCCCCCCCCCCAGTAAAAAATCCGTGGCGACGCTCCTATATAGGTGGGTTTCACTAACTAAAACTACTGAGCCGAGTGACTTACGATAAAACTTCATCTTATAAACGACGAAGATCAAATGTCATTTTTTGATCTCGACATACTCGCTCCCTACCCCCCCCCCCCCCCCCGGTCGTCAGAATTCATTCACCAGACCTGGTATGTCGGCCGACTGGTGACCCCCCCCAAAACGACCCCCTAGATCCGCCCTTGCCACCAGCAGCGTGTCGGCGACCAGATGGGCCGCCGACCCGCACCTCTCCACCAGCTGCTGCACCGCGGGGCTCAGCCTCCTCTCCACCAGCCTCCTCCCCTGCTCCAGCCTGAGGGCAGAGATAGCGTCGAAGATGTTAGACATCTTGTTGCTGTAAGAGGTCACGAGCAAGTAGGTAGCAAATCACACAAAATCACTCCAGCACTGTCACAGAAGGACTGGCCGGTGCCGGCCGGCGCCGCTGCTGATATACCGACCGCCGGCGGCGGCCCCGATAAGAGCCGCCGGCCGCCGGCAGCGACAGGCGCGCGGCGCCGACTGGAGCCGGCCGGCGGCCACCTCCGGCTGCCGGCGTCACGGCCAACACAGAGACGAGCCGGGCCGGCGCGGGGCCACACACCAGAGGTGGTATCTGCGCCCACGGGTTTATTATTAAATGGTTGTTTATTTAGCCTTGTTAGTTGTCAAACAAACATAATTGCCTTGTTCCGTGCTGTTTATACACAACGGGGATGGAAACTACCTCCC